GACATCTGTTCTCGACGCCGCGGTAGTTTTGAAGGTTCGGACCTGTCTATACTTTGGCTACGCGTAGATAGCGACCACCATCCGCGCGTCTACGGGTGCCTCTATAGTTCCCATAGCGGTGATGCCGAAACAGACCGACCACGTCCAAATGTCTACAGATTCCTTGCTACTACAGGTCCCATCCACAGAGATCGTGATCCTTGGCGTTTTTAACGCCCACCTAGCCGAACGGCTCAGTTCACGTTTAACCGATTATGCAGGAAGATATGTTCATGATTTTGCCTTGGCATATGGTCTGACACAACTGGTTAGTTCGCCTACGCAGACTACAGATGTGGAGGATCATGCACTTTTCCTGTTGGACCTTCTGCTGACTTCTCATCCGGATAGATATCAGGTCTCCGTCGACGCGCCTCTTGACTTCCCGGGTCATTGTCTAGTCCGGAGTGTGGTGCCACTCACGCTAAAAACTGCGCTTGCTTGCCGCAGGCTGCCGCCGTGTTTAGCATTATAGGTCGGCCGATTGGGAAGGGGTGCGGTCTTTCTAATTCTGTTGCTGATGTGGTACTTCAGGGTATGGAACTTTTTATTCCTTAGTCTGTGGTGCCCATTGGAGGCAGATCTCAGCCATGGTTTAGTCGCTCCTGTAAAATAGCATCACGCTACAGGCAGGCGTACTACCGGGCCTGAGCTGACGCATCAATGTCCTGGGATGTAAACACCAGAGCCTTTAAAAAGGTGTATACTTGCGCCTCCAGGTTTTTCAAAAGCGTCATTGCCAGTGCAAAGTCAGAGTACATAGGCAGAATTGGTAAGAAACTAGTTTGCCTTCCTTCGGGAATCCGTGCATTATGGTCTCTCGCCAAGGCTGTGCAAGGGAACTTCTGTCAGCCATCTCTTCCATCTCTGCACAGGTAGGACGACTCACTGACCCACGCAAAGGAGAAAAACGATCTGCTAGACTCTTTCTTTACGTCCAATTCGACTCTAGATGACGGGGGGAACACACCGCCGACCATGCCGCGATGTGAGTGCTCCATGCCGGATGTTCGCTTCACTCAGCGCTCGGTTCGCAAAGCACTTTTTTCCCTGGATATCCACGAGTCGAGTGGGCCTGACTGAATCTCCGCAATTGTGCTGAGGACGTGTGCTTCTGAGTTGGTACCGGTTCTAACGTGTCTTTTCCGGTACTCCTACTCCCTAGGCGTAGTCCCGAAATCATGGAACACGGCTTTTGTCCACCCGATCCCCATAAAAGGGGACTGCTTAGACCAGTCTAACTACAGGCCTATCGCAATAACCTCCTTTTTCTCCAAAATAATGGAATCCATAATAAACTGCCAGCTCATGCGGTACCTTGAGGATCACCAGCTGATTAGTGACCGCAAATACGGTTTTTGTCGCAGTCGATCAGCTGGTGATCTTCTGGTCTACCTGACCCATAGATGGGAGGAGGCAGTAGAGTCCAAGGGGGAGGCGTTGGCCGTTAGTCTGGACATTGCGAAGGCCTTCGATCGAGTTTGGCACAAAGCGCTTCTTTCGAAGCTCCCTTCCTATGGGCTTCCCGAGAAATTGTGCAATTGGATCACCAGCTTCCTTGCAGATCGGAGCATTAAGGTCGTTGTAGACGGTGCATGTTCTGACTACAAGCCTATTAACGCTGGTGTCCCACAAAGCTGTATGCTATCACCAACGCTGTTTCTTCTGCATATCAATGATATGTTGCTAACTGGTAATATTCATTGGTATGCGGATGACAGCACTGGTGATGCTGTATACACCGGCCGTGCCAATATTTCTCGGGAATACGTCGCCGAGTACCGGAACAAACTTGTGTCTGAAGTCGAGTCTTTGGTGAACAAAGTCTCGGATTGGGGGCGACTAAATCTAGTCCAGTTTAATCCTCAGAAGACACAAGTTTGCTCGTTTACCGCTAAAAAGAACCCCTTTGTCGTATCTCCTCAGTTTGAAGGCACTCCCCTTCTTGCCTCAGCCAGTATCGGTATCCTCGGAGTCGACATATCGAGTGACGTGCAATTTCGTGGTCACTTGGAAGAGAAGGCCAAATTGGCCTCTAAGAAGCTTGGCGTGCTCAGCAGAGCGGGACAGTATTTCATGCCGGCACACCGCCTGCAACTTTACAAGGCGCAGGTTCGGCGTCACATGGAATACTGTTCCCATCTCTGGGCAGGGGCTCCCCAGTGTCAGCTACTTCCACTTGACCGCATCCAGCTCAGAGCGGCTCGAATCGTCGACGACCGAGCCCTTTCCGATCGGCTCGATTCATTGGCACTGCGAAGAGATGTTGCATCCCTTTGCATTTTCTTTCGCATCTACCATGGGGAGTGCTCTGAGGAATTGTTCGGATTAATCCCAGCCGCCAAATTTCACGAACGCACATCGCGGCAGAACTCCCGATACCAACCACACCATCTGGATGATTGGCGGTCCACCACTGTGCGATTTAGAAGATGTTTTCTTCCTCGCACGACTTCCTTGTGGAATCGATTACCATCAGCGATTTTGCCGGACCGATACGACTTAGGGACCTTCAAGAAAAGAGCGTACTCCTTTTTAAAAGGCCGGCAACGCATCTGCAATTCTCTCCCTGGTGTTGCAATTGTTCATGGGCGGCAGTAGTCACTTACCATCAGGTGGGCCGCAAGCTCGTTTGCCCCCTCTCCTATAAAAAAAAAGACAATTTCCTTTTGATAGCCAACGCACTTCTGTGTGAAAGATCAGTCGGTTGAAATCTTCATCATTATTAACACAAAGCTGATTAAATAATTGGTCATTTAAAGAGTTGTTTTGGATTTTGACATGACATGTTGCAATGATTGAAACAGTCGTTCACTTAAATTTCTAGCAACCAAATGTTGTCGATGTATAACGCAATGTACAGCAAGCACATCCTGAATTTTGTTTTTAAGTACGCTATGAAGCCTTTCTGATACTCCATCATAGCTGGAGCAACATCTGTAGCAGCTGCTATAATATTCTTCAAGGGAATTCCTTTTTCATCACAAAACTTTTCCAATGTTTTAAATATGGTTTCTCCTTTTGTGTCTGTCTCTAAATTTCTACCAAATAATAGTTTTTGATATATTTTTTCATCTTTAATAAACTTCACGTAAGACATGAAAGTATTTCATTAGTTGGTAAAGTGGACTGATCCAACTGAATTGAAAATTGACTAGTCTTCAGATTATTGCACAATGCACTTGGCTGAGCATTGTGCTTCTTTTCCAGGTCTTGAAAATAGACAACATTTTGATCCTTCTCATCAGGATGCATTTTATTCAAATAATCTTGATGTCTTGAAGGTTTCATCGCTTCGTTTGAAAAGGTTTTTGAATAAAGAAGGCACAAAGGCAAAGATGGATTTGTCGACTTTTCTATGAATCCATATTTAATATATTCTGCACTATATTGCCGTCTCTTTTTTTGGCTTTGTTTTTAGAAATATGTAAATAAAGTGTTGAACTTAAATACTTGTTTAAAGATTGCGCGAAAAACCACTAATGAAAATATAAAAAAATTATTACGAGCTTTTATATAGGATTTAAATATAGCATGCACAGACAGGAATAAGATAACACACAAACTCGTTTATCTCTCTCGACGCTCAATCCTACTAAGCAAGTTAAGACAAGTATCGATGAACCCACCGATTTCTACCGTATTACACCAATAGCGTTATTTATCAAATCTTTTTACAACTTGATTGCGTACGCCGTACGGGCTATCCTAAGAAATTTATGTTAAGTACTTTGAGTTTATATACCATCATAAAGGGCAGAAATATAAACTAATTATTCGATATTGAGTAGTAGGTAGGTTTTAATTTTAGTAACTTTTAAAATATGAAGTATCTAAATGAAATTATAAATCAACTATCGCCCTCCCCTAAACCGCTCTAATGCCCTCCATTTTTTTCTGGGCTCCTTAACGCTAGGTCTAGGTCTTCAACGCCTACAAGGGGGCATTATCGCCCACTTTGAGAAAGACTAATGTACAGTTTATTAAATCATCATGTAATTTCAGAAAATAAAATTACATAACCCATATCTCTTTTTTTTATTTTACCCCATACTTTCCTCTTATGTAAATTCGAGTAATTTTAGTGCAGCATCTTGAATGTATGGAAATTTACCCAATAAGGTTTTGAGGGCTGAGCCAAAATTACTAATTTTCCTTAAATAAACAAAAAGTTTAAAAGTTACAAAATAAGAAGGATTGAAATTCCTTCGAAAATAGTTTCATATGGGCGGGTGCTGCGGCGTTAGTAGTCTACACTCACAGAGAGTAATTGTATTCTGTGGTTTGTGACGTTAACTTTCATGTGTAAGTAATTCTTTATGACTTTAGAATTATTTTCTTCTTTTTAATCTTAAAAATTACAATAATTACGGTCGTGTTGTTTCGGATTTGTTTATCAACGCAAGCCGCTAGCCCTTATACAATAAGCTGTTTGGTCGAGCGACTGATCTGAGTTGCCGCTGCCAGCGAGCGATAGTTTTGTTATACCCAACGACCTATATATAAGAATAAGACTTAATTTTTTTAGGTGATTGGTTAAACCGGTTTGTAGGTAGTTATTGATTGCGCTTGTATTTCATATTCGTTTGTGTACTCATTACAAAACTCTCAACCTGTAAAGGCATAAACCAAATCGCCATAATTTGTTTTATCCACTTAGGCTCCTTGTGAACCTGAAATATAATCGTTGTCAACTATCTGCTGATTTAGTCTGTCTGCGAAATCTCAAAAACTCAATATGCATCATCAATAAGTAGTAGAGAAGATTTCTAAATGATAATTTCCTATCACGACTTTGGCAAAAGTACATCCGTAAAGTCCGTTGCAAAAATATTACTAATATTACTAATGAAAATTACGAATAATCTATGATTGCAACCGTTATTGCACAGACTAATATGATGCTTATGCATCGTTAATGTGTGTTAGATTTAGATGTTAGTCTGTGATTGATGTTGATCAATGTTGATAGCATTTGTGTTTGCTAATATCAATTTTTTAAAAAATTGTCAAAATTATCCGAGTATCGTATTATTTTAATTCTGTCATGTTGCGATTTTAGTAACGAATAAATTTGAAGGCTTACCTGCTATAGAATTTATATTTACACGCCATGTTTTTCGACGATGAAGAAAACAGCCTTGCCCAGCGAGAAATATTGCAAGCCTTTAGTCAAGAAATCCGTATGTATCTGGAGTGTCACCTTTTTTGCTATTGGTGTATGTCTTTGTTAATTGTATATACCTTTGATTTCAGTTGCTCTCGGTTCAAATTTTGATGTATCATTTGGTATAAGGAATATACCAACGCATACAGAAGATGGAATACCTATCAGAAAGCTTTATGTATCCAATTTACCTCCAAAAGTAGGTACTTTACTGGTATTTTAATAACGACACGTTTACTTTATCAATATCTATATATATTATTCACACGTGTTTTAGACCACGCGAACGGAACTTTTCGGTGTTTTTGCTCAATATGGATTTATCAAGAGCTGCTGGCTACGAATGGGGGATAAAGGACCAAACAGAACTCCGACACCTACATATGCATTTGTAACATTTATTAATCCTGATGATGCACACAAGTGAGTATATAAATTATTTTGCTATCTTACAAAATTTAATACTAATAAATAATTATAGTAAAACTGTAATACTTACTGTTTGGAACACTTCTGTCGTGCATATGAATTTTGTAGTTCACATTGGATTTTAATTTAACATTATCAGTATTATCATAATTTCCATGGATGTGAAATTGTTCATTGAAAAAAACAATCTTTCATAATACACTAACAGCATTGAGATCATCATTCAAAGTCGGCACTGTAAATTGATCTTCAGTCTCTTCCTGTTCCTTTTCATTATCCTCTTAAACTTCTTGTACAATATGGTGGTGCACAAATTGTAATAGAGTTATCTAAATCAATAAACTCCTCTTTAATAGTATATAATGCAGATTGTAAATTTCGGACTAATTGAGCCAAAGAAATATTGTCCTCTTCATCATCATCAGTCACATCATCTGAGGATATTGTTAAGAAGTCTTTAAACCCTGCATGTCCAGTTTGATATAAATTTTTGTAAAAACGTTTTCCCATGCTTCTGATATCATCAAGAATGCATTGAGAACTGTAAACCTTTTCTGGTCATTACTATCAAGGTTTTGTATTAACTTTAACACTTGCAGTCATCTATAATGAGATTTTAAAACACTGTTACACCTTGGTCCATAGGTTAAAGTTCATATTATGTAACATTTGGTGGTAAGAACACTAGTTGAATGCACTTCAGATTAGTAACAACCAGATGATCAGGACAATCGTCAATCAAAAGAAGGATTATCTTACTGTTTACTTTTAATTCAGTGTCCCAGTTTCGTAACCATCACTCAAAAATATCATCCATGACTTCACATTGTTTTCATATGTTACTGGCAGTGAGCATATGTTTTTAAAGCATCTTGATTTCTTAGATTTGCTGATAACTATAAGCTTCTTTTTACAGGACTGGTCATATTTGCTGCAACCTTATCATCTATCAGTCTCGTCTTAAACATTTTTCCACTAGAATAATTCTCTTCTTTGAACTTTAATATTCTTTCTGGTGTCACATTATAAAAACGTCCAGTTTTTTCTGTGTTTAAAATGTCATTTGGTCTATAGCCTTTGTGTAACATAGCTCACTTATGCAATATCCATTCTTCTACAACATCATAATCAATACTGGCAGCTTCACTGCTCATTTTCCCGCTGAAGATACCGTGCCGAGCTCGAAAACGTTGAATGAAACTAGACGTGCAAACGAAATCTTCATCAAAATGCTGAGCAAAACTGTTTGCTTTTTGTTGAAGAATTGGTGCATTTATTGGCATATTATTTGTCCTTTGATATTTAAACCACTTTAACAAAGCTTCCTCAATCTTCATAATATGCTTTTTTGTTGTTCTTGCTCATTTCATTTTCAACAAATCCTGTCAAAAAGTGTTTTAATTTTTTCTCAATTTCCATGTGACGTTGTTTTTTTTTTTGTTGACAACAATTGACATGTTGACGTTGACAAGTGTGATTCACCATATTTCTTTGCCAAGTATTTTTTTTGGAAATCTGCTCTGTAGCATTGATATAATACGTGATTCTTCTTCTATATTGATTTGTTTCCTTTTTCTTTGCGACATGTTAAAAGTTTCACAATTAACTCAACAATATGCTTTGGTGCGTCTTGTGTACAGATAAGTAACAAACTGACTGAATAAATATGGGCTTTGATTATACTGCTTGCACATGTATTTTGTTTCTGAGAATTTCAAAAGACCCCAAACTTGGCACATTTTTTTTTATAGGATTAGGGTGACAAACGAGCACACAGTCCACCTGATGGTAAGTAGTTGCTGTGGCCCATAGACATCAACATCCATCTTCGATTATGAATCAAAATGCAGATGCGTTGTCACCCGTGAGAACTAAGATAGAATGCCTCTTTTCCAGTAAAAAGGGTCTCAGGTTCTATACACTCACCATACGAAACACACCAGTGTGAAGCTGCTATTTTATGCTGGTATTCTGTTTACTTTTGCAATCTTAATAGGCATTGATCATTATTTTGTACCAAATATGGATACTGTTACCTATTCAAATTGTTTACATTACAGCTGGTCCTTCAAACAGATATAATTCTCCGAAAATGTTATTTAAATATAATCGCTTAATAAGTTATGTTGTAATAAGCAATGTCGTAAAAAAAAAGTAGGAAAAATCAATTTTCTACCGCCTTCAAAAAGGAATGAACCGATTTCGATGATTCTTTTTTCATTTGAAAGCTGGTGCTTCCCATGTGGTCCCATGGTCAAGGTCTGACCAATAGTTTTTAAGTTATGCTTAATAATTTATATTGAAGTCGGTTGTACAAAGTTTTTAATTTTAAATTATATGTTATAGTATGTATGGTGCAATACCATTATATTCATGAGTACTAAATTTAAGTAACCTTTAATTCATGCACATTCATTAAAATAAACAAAAATATAAAGAAATGGAAAAGTTAGTGAAAATAACAAAAATAAATTAAATAATTTTATATTTATTCTGCCATTAGTTGTTCTTACTCAAAATATATAACATCGGCGGCAAATGACTAACCCCCCTCGCTTGATATAACTGAACGTGCTGGTTCTGCCTGGTCTGGATGTATCAAAAACAATTATTTTTAGGTTATACAAAGACTTTCCGTGCGGGATTTGAACCGCGGTCATGCAGCACCTCAGCCAAACGATTAACTACTAATGAGCTACTATGCCATTGACTAATGAAATCAATGAATAATTATTCTGAGTAAATTTGATATAATAAAATCTAACAATCTACTGTCTGGAGTAGATCGTAATTTGCTATATCTTCATTGCAGCACTCAAGGTATTATTTAATTTGGATTGGAAGACCCACTAATTCATAACAACCATCCAAGTTATACTTCATGCACACCATAAAACATTTCATCAAACTTGTTTTCTAATATCAGGGCTTTGCAAGCTCCTTATCATGAAAAACAACTCCGAGGACGCAATTTACGGATTTCACCAGCTGATAGTTGGCACCAACCAGCTGAAGATGCTGATGGCAGAGTATGCTGGAAGCCAAATAGTCAGCGACAAGAAGAAAATAATGCGTCACCTAGCGGCAATGATGGTGAACAACACAATGGTACATAACATCCTATATTAAATGTTTAATTCTTACTAATAAATTTATAAGTTTTTAACAGAATTTATGTTACGGCCAGTGACTGCTAAATAAGTTTTTTCTTAATGATACATTGTAATAAATAGCGGTAGATGATGGGGTTAATGGCATGCACCTCACTTATAAGAGGTATTTGCTAATATAATATAATTGGCTTTTTGTTATTTATTCTGTAAGGTAAAGTTACAACGTTTATGTGTCCCACTGCTGGGTACAGACCTTTTCTCGTTTCTGAGAGATTTATGAAATAATCAGTCCACTGAGCTGCTCACTCAATGCATGTCGGCAGACTTCACGTGTCCTTGAATTATTTCTTAGACATGCAGACATCTATATCTATACAAATAAATAAAATTGAAGTACCTGTTTGAAATGTCAAATTAACACCATTTTACTAAATAAATATGAAAGTATATATGGTACTTATAACAAAAAAAAAATTTTTAAATTTTTGTCTGTCTTTCTCTCTGTTTGTTTTGGCTAATCTACCGAAACTTCCGACCTATTTTGACCGGACCTTCACTGGCATATAGCTGATGTTATAAGAAGTAACTTAGGCTACTTTTATTTTAGAAAAATAATTTTTTAAAACCCATGAAATCCAATCGTAATAAATTCCATGCGAAGTGGGGAGGGGGGGGGGGGGGAGAGTAGCTAGTTATAATCATAAACTCTCACACTGTCACCCAGATGGCTAGAAGAGACTATGGACTTCCTTTTCGCATAATCCTGACCCACTTTTTGATGGTTGAAGGTGACCTATCTTCAATATATTGCACATTTGAATCATAAACTTCCGCCATGGGCGACCCTTACTGAATCTGCAGCTCTCTGTAACTCACTTCTGCAGCATAAATTTGCTCTGATATTCTTCATTCATTCTTTCTGTGTCCACTGAAGCATTCCTTTCTTAATTCTGGTTACAACATCTTGTAAATCACATTTTTAACTTACCATTCAGAGTCACCCTTCGAGGAGATGCTTGTACATCAACGTGCTCAGTCCCGGACTTTTTGCGGAGAAATTTGCGGACATGCTAGACAAGTCCTGCCTTCAATAACTAAATCTTGAAAGTAATCAATATATGAATCAAATTGATTGATATATTGATTACTTCTTAATGACCTTATATCTACAGCATTAACAATGCAGATTTAATTATTGGAGTCGGGGTTTGTCTAGACTGTGTGCAAATTTCATGGTTAGTCCAGGACTAAGCTTGTCGATGAACAAGCATCTCCTGGTCCAGTTTCCCTATCTCGCCTCTCTTACGAAACCTATGGGATGATATTGGTAGTCGATATTCTTACACCACCACAACACGGTTGAACCAGGAGTTCGCAGCATATTCCTGATAACAGCTGAATATAACAAACTGTGATAACTATGGCATATAATATCCTCCACTTATGAGAAAATTTATGGGGAAAGCCATAATTGGCAGGCAGATTGGCAACTGCGGTTTTTATTTATTATTTTATTATTATTTGGTCTATTTGGCCCTTGGTATTGTGATTATGTCACAATAATTCTGCCAATGTCCGGTCCTTGGTCTGTCGCACCTTGTCTTTAGGCTTTTCGGTGGAAAAGGAGTTAGCGGTTATTAGGTGAAAATATGGATAAAAACAAAGCAACTAAATACATAAATTATGGACCACACAATATAGAGCAAACATCTAGTTATAGGAGAGAATTAGCCTGGGCAGGGAATAGAGAATTAGTTTAAGCTAAATTTAGTACACGATAATTAGAGTTTAATATTATACATTTGAATATATTTTGAGATCATATTGACATATATGGAATTGGGGATAGTTAAGAGGGAATTGATATTCATTGGTCGAGGGATTGTGTTGGGAAGAATGTCATATAAAGAAATTGGGTGATTTTGGCAATTAAAGAAAATGTGGTCTGGGGTACCTTCATCCAGTCCACATTCACAGAGGGAATGATCTTTGATTCTAATTTTAGCTAGGAATACAGGAGTGCAGGCATGCCCAAGCCTTAAACGGCAGATTGTAGATGTGATTTGTTTGTTCAAAAAGCTAAATTTAAAGAACCAAGGTTTTGGAGGGATTTGGGGTTGAATTTTACCAAAGTGACAACCTTTAATATGTCTGGATGTGCTCCATTCTCTGTTCCAAGAGTTCTTTAATTCAATTTGAGCTAATGACATTAGATCATGAGAGTAAATCATTAAATGAGAAGGACAGCCAGTATCAACAGCTCCTTTGGCCCAAGAGTCAGCCTGTTCATTTCCTTCTATACCACAATGACTAGGAATCCACACAATCTCCACATCAAGCCCACTCTTATTACAATTTAGTATGAGTTCCTTAATTTTCAGTATTAATGGGGAGATGGAATTCGTTTTAAATATATTGCTCTGTAATGACATTAGGCAGCTTTTTGAATCAGTAAATATAACTGACTTAGGAATTTTATGGGAAAGAATATAGGAAATAGCCTCATATATGGCTACAGCTTCCCCAGTAAAAACAGAAGCTTGAGGAGGACATCTATAATTAAGGACAATTTTGTATTTGGGGATCCAGACTGCGGAACCGACACATTTGAATGGAGACAATTTGGAAGCATCAGTAAAAATATATAGCCAATCAGACCATTTTTTTGCCACAAGGTTGTAGAAAGTTCTGTTTGCAGTGGGGGAATTTTTATTAATGTTTAAATTCAGAGTGATTTTAGGGTTTATTAATATAGCTTCATAGCTGGTTTCAAAATAGGGTAGAATTAGGGATGTTACACAAGGATAACCAATATTTTTTAATCTATTTAGAGATTTAAGAATGGGGGGCCAGCTTTTATTAAACCAGTAGGAGTTGTTTACAGCTAATAGTAGCAAGGATTCTAGTTTACGATGTAAGGGGTGAGATGATAGTTGTAGAGTTTTTGAGAGAAATCTATCAGCTAGAAACTGTCTTCGTAAAGAGAGAGGGGGATCAGCACATTCTACTTGTAAAGCATTTTTAGGAGTTGATTTCATTGCGCCTGTGATAATACGTAAACATCTTGTTTGGATAACATCAAGTCTATTAAGGGCCGATTTGTTGCAGGGCTCCAAAAGAAAAGAGCCATAGTCGAAGTGACTGCGGATGATGGCATTGTATAGGATTTTTTGACACATGGGGTGAGAACCCCACCATACGCCTGAAAGGGATCTAAGAATATTAACACCTTTCTCACATTTGTCACAGATGTAATTAAAGTGAGCAGTACCAGTCATATGACAATCTAAGAAAATACCTAAAAATTTTACTTTGTTAACAACTGGAATAGATTCACCATTATATGAGATATCAATAGTAGGGAAAACACGTTTTCTACTAAAGGTTATTGTTTTGCTTTTAGAAGCTGAAAGAGAGAGGCCATGGTCAGTAAGCCATTGATTAAGATAATATAAGCCTCTGTTAAGATGATGGGAGGCAGTTAGGACATCAGGAGCTGTTACATAGATAGCAAGATCATCTGCATATTGTAATATGTCACAGAAAGATGAAATCGAATGTTCAAGGTCATATGTGTAGATATTGTAAAGAATAGGGCTTAAGACCGAGCCCTGTGGTAGACCCTTCCAGATTGTTCTGGGCGAGGTTAACATTCCTTTATTGCGAATTTTGATAGATCGTCCCATGAACAGATTGTAAATGAAGTGTACAGTCTTCGCAGGGATGTTCAGATGAAGCATTTTCTGCCTGAGCACTGGAAGAAGAACACTGTCATAGGCAGATGATATGTCCAGGAAACAACCCACCAAGTATTCATTTTTAGAAAAGGCCAACCTAATATCTGTAGTTAGGATGCTCAAACTATCTAAAGTGCTTTTACCTTTACGAAAACCAAATTGACTTTTTGCAAGGATGTTATTATGTTCCAGAAACCATTCAAGTCTGTTTTTAATTAAATGTTCTAAAATTTTGCAAAAAGTAGATGAGAGTGCGATTGGGCGGTATGAAGAAGCTTCTTTGGGATCTTTTCCGGGTTTAAGGATAGGTATAACAATTTGGTTTGACCAAGACAGAGGAATATTAGATGATATGTAGATATTGTTCAGAATTTGGAGAAGAATTAATTTACCTTTAAGGCTTAATTTACATAAACACGCATAGGGTATGCCATCTTCTCCTGGAGAAGAGGATTTTAAGCCAGATAGCACAGACTGTAATTCGGACAATGAGAAGATTATCTCATTATTGTTGATGTAAGACGGGACTGGAATGGGTGGGCATATTGTATATTCATTAGGGACAAAAGGAGGAGCTAACATATCAGAGAAGACTTCTAACCATGGTAAAGAGTTATCAGAAATGTTGGAATCAGAAAGAAGGGAGCCACGAAATTTTTTTATATTTTTCCAAACTATTGTTACTGGTGAATTAGGGGACAAGGATTCACAGAATTTTTTCCATCCATTTTTTTTCTTTTTGGAAAGTAGTCTCCTTGTTTGAGCGGAGATTTTTTGAAATTGTATAAAATTATCGGTTGTCATACAGTGATTATAAAGCTTTTCTGCAGCTTTTCTCCTTTTAATCATAGTGGTGCACTCAGCATCCCACCATGGAGGGGAGGATAGGTTCTTGCTGTGGGGTTTTTTGGATGGGATAAATAAGTCAGCTGCTTCAGTTATATATTGTACCAATAGAGAGTACGAAGTTATTGGGTTGGTTGAGAAGTCAACCTGCATTTGCGCAAATTTAGTATCTAAAAATTTAGTGAAATTAGTCCAATCTGCGTCTTGGAGCTTATATTTAAGGAGGGGCATAGTAAAGGGAAAAGGAATAACCGCATTGGGTTTGGTAATAAGAATGGGAAAGTGATCACTTCCATATGATTGATTGAGGGTTTTCCAAGAAAGCTGAGGGGCTAGACTAGGAGAACAAGCTGTTAGGTCGACAGCAGACCTAGGGTCTAGTCCTGGGTATACTCTATGAGTGGGGGAACCA